ATAAAATAAAAATAAAATATGGACCTATATTCTAGATTAAAGAAAGAGCATTTTATCCCAACATTAAAAAATTATTAAACCAGTCCTAAAATTACAATGCATTCCCTCAATTATTCTGCTAATCCTATAATTTGTTTCCGAGGAATATTTAAAGCTCCGCCTAACAATCCTTCCCCTCCCACCTTCATTCCCTTTTGCTGTCAGACAGTCTTAAATTCCTCAGATGGCTTTTGAACATGCTGTTAATGATGGTATATTGAAGTGAAACTTAAAAATAAATAACATAGGATGCACAATCACCCATCTTCCCCCTAAATAGGTGAAGATCTAATGACAAGAGTTTATAAAATCTCAGCATCTAAATATTTTCTTTCCAGCTAAATTCATGTCTCAAGGCAAAACATTGTATATTGAAAAAAAAAAAAAAATCCCAATCTAATGACTCAAACCCTTCACTTCTTTTAACTACATTTCATAATTCCCCCTATCTTTCTATTTCTACTCTCTCTCTTGCTCTTGTTCTCAGTCTAGCTCTTATTCTCATAATCTAAGACAGCTCTTTTCTACAATTCATTGGCCCTTTCAATAGCTATCAGGATTCTTTCAAAATCTGTAATACTCATTTCTCTTTACCTAACTTCCTGTTACATTAAGACTTGCTACCTAGGAATGCTTCCTCCACCTCTCTGGGTAATAGAAAATGTTAGGTAGTGACATACTTGTGTTAAAAGGTTTCTTAAGTAGTCCTTCCACTCTTCTTAATTACCACATTATCAACTACCAAAGAATCAGAGAAAGACCACTGCCCAGGTTGAAGGCTTTTATTTAATTGCCACAATTTACAATTATAATGTTATGGAAATATAGCATATTAGTCATGACTGAATTGTTGGAAGCATACTGCTAGGGTTCACGTTCTGGCTCCACCATTTGTCAGTTGTGTGACCTTAGGTACCTTACTTCTTTGCCTTGATTTCTCTATGTGTAACATGGTATTAATATCGTACCTATTTCTTATTGTGAAAATTACAAAAGGAACAACATGAAAAATGCTTGGAGAAAGACTGACACATTAAAAACATTCAATAAATCACATCCTGGATAGGAATGTTCAAAACTCCAATATCAAAAAAGAAAAAATAATAATTAAATTCCAAGATAATTCTGATCTCCAAAACTATGCAAGATTTTTGTGACTCAGAAGTACACTGGTGACAGAAGGAGAGTCATAAAATCTCACTTTTCAAAGCAGGACAATAAAATGTCTACAATGTTTGCAAATTTAGGATTAAAGGTCATGGATGCAAATGAAATCTGACTTTACATCCTTCATTTCATAGTGTTCAGATCAAAACCATTTCCCCAATTTCCCAAAATTACTAGGGAAAGGCTACCACTTTTGCCCACTCTTAATTAAAATTTAAAACAGGGTATATGATATAGGGCATAAAGTCCTACTTTACTCAGATTGGCATTATTTCTTTTTCTATTTATTCTGAGATGCAAAACTCATTTTCTTAGTGAATAAAGTTTAATGGAGCATAATTACTATGGGAATGCTTTCTCCTATGAGAAAACATGTTTTTTACTTAGATTTCTCAAGAATGTAGAATTCTTGTAAAGGAAACCTATATAAATAATTAAATAAAGAATCTGACAGAAATATAAAGATCCGTGGTATTAAATGGATTGTCTTTAACAGTAACTTCAAATGGTGTTAGGAAACTTTAGCACAGTCATGCTTGGGATATCACATGAAGACAGAAATCAATTATTTGGTGAGAGCTGAAGTGTGGGATAGTATCTTCACCTCTTTCTCCATCCTCCCTTATCACTCCATGAAAAGGTGAAAATCCTAATGGGGCCAAATTCTAGGGCACAAATTAGACCATGTGTGCAAATGAATGCAGGTCAAATTCCTCTCCATGCTTGTGTGTGGCTCTCCAATTAGCCATTTTCCTACCTATGTAGCAGAAGGGATGTCCCCTGGACAGCCCAGGCGTCTCAACTGAACTTGTTCCTATATTACCAGGAGTACTCAGGTATCCAGATACCCTCAACCCTTCGGGCTAGGCTGCTGGCTTATATAAAATGCAGTGAGAAAGGCCTTGCTTAAATCGACTTTCAACCTTACACTTCAACTCCATTTTTCAGAGAACTTTGGGTTGGAGTGTAGGGCATTAGCCAAGCAAAATTAAGTGTCCTTTGCTCTTCCACTTGTCATTCTCCCCTGACATCTGTATATTCTGTCCCTTCAGGAATGACCTACTGAGGCAGCTCTATTGGGTAAGGTGAGATGTGAGCATTTCTGCATTCCGTGCTTAACAGCACTTAAAAACACCTCAAAACAGTGGAAATGGTGGAAAAATAAAGAAGAAAGAGAAAAAGTAGTGAGTCCCCTCTCTTTTAGGATTTAACATCTACTGTGACATGCAGAGGGAAACCATGATTTTGGAGCTCTAAACATCTGTTTGTATTGGCAATCACCAGACATAATTCTAGAGTTTTGTTTTGTTTTTTGTTTGTGAGGTATGTGTCTTTTTTGGGGGGGAGAAGGGTACTCAGGTACCCATTCAGGTTCCCATGAATGACATGGATAGAAAGGTTATAGGAATCTTCGGAGAGATTATGAGACCCAGACATTTGAGAATCAGTACTATGAAGGTATAGTACAAGACATCTGTAAGGTGTACAATGAAAAATCATCAAGTCCTAGTTGAAAATCTTTACTACATTACTAGAAATGAGGAAGACCTCTATTTTATTCTCCAGGTTGAAAAATTACACAAATTTTTAAAATTTCATGTAAGTGCCTCAGTAACATTTGGGAAAATAAGACCAAATCTGCAATCTGAAGATTAAAATTTAAAAATGTGTTCATTTCAGTATACTTCTTAAAGCGTATTAAGTTTCAAGAGCAAGAATAAAAGACATTGTCTTACCTCCCATCTCGATCCCAGTCATACACCTCTACTTTGATTGTTCTGTCCATGGGGAAAACATACACATAAAGTTGCTTAGTAAGATGAAAAAACATCACTGAGAATTAAAAAATAAGTTATAGATTTTCTTAAGATGAAATGTATGCTTATAGGCTTTTAAAAAATAGTCTGAAGCTGATTTTGCTAGTTTTATTACTATATTTTGATTTATATCTTAAAATAGGTTTTTCAAATCTTATTCTTTAAGGGGAGTAAGGGAAAGTATATGTGGGAAGCATGTGTAATTTGACATAGCTCCTCAATGAGAAGGTACGCAGCTACTTCTCTAGAAAACCACTATGTTAGAGCAGGATTTCTCAATCTCAGCATGGACCACAATCACCCGGAGGGCTTCTCAAAACTTGAATTGTTAGACTTCATGCCCAGAGTTCCTGGTTCAGTGGGTTTCAGTTGGGGCCTGAGAACTTGAATTTCTACAAAGTTAACCAGGTGATGTTAATCACAAACCACATTACAGGAACCACTTTCTTAAAGAATGAGTTTAGTTGAATTAAGTTATGATCTTTTCAAATGAATAAAATGACAGTCAACTTAAGTTTTAAAGTAAATTTAATGGCATGCTGCTAATCAATAGTTCCTTCTATGATATTAGTTAATAGAATAAATTTGTATTTTTCTAATATTCAAGTAACAATATAAAATAAAGAGATTGGATTTTTACTTTCTATTTATTTGCTTTTCTTTTGGGATAAGGGTTTTTATATTATAACTTTATAATCAACTCTCACATGAAAAAAGAAAAAAAAAACTTTGATATTAAGAAATCTTTAGGTATATTGTGGGAGTATCTTCATGGCCACCTTACCCACCTATTTGTAAAACACCAGAATCTCCCTGTTCTACATCTACAGCACTTCTAGAATTCAACAACCATGAGAACAGTGATGCCAAATAACATTTTCAAGAGTTCATCAAAGTTGATAATATACCTAGTCATAGCCTTGTATCTTGTATATTTACTTATTCCACTCTAGAAAGATAATACCAAATGAAAGCATTGAGGCCATGAAAATTCTAGAGTAATTTTTGAATAATATGTTAAAACAAACTAATATTTAATACATTTTTAGCACTTTGCATATTTTTGGTCTTGGAAACTCAAGTCAGTTTAACTGAACTTTAGTCAAATTATCCCTCTTCCCCAAATCATCATGGATTTTAAAAAAAGGTTATTTAAAAAATTCTGAATAAATCACCTATGCTTGGTAAATACACATTTACATAGGTAAAGAAGCCACCTTAATTTTTAAAAATTTGGCTTAGATTATTAGATAAAAAGTATATAGTAAATATTCAAAACTCTCAGAAAAGTTGTCATTTATTTTACCTGTCATAATCACCATTACATAATGCTCTGACTGAGATCTTGAATGCTTGCCATACAGGATTTAGAGTGTTTTTGACAACTTCTGTTTTATGACAAATTGTAAAACTGTAAAAACAAAAGAAGAGGTTTTCAGTTATTTTCATAATTTGATTATGATATATTGCTTTAGTAGGCATTCTTCTCTTTCTTTTTTGTATAGAACAAATGTTGTCAATCTCCCTGTGGCTGGTATATGACTTAGTAAAAAGAGACTTGTGGTTTTAGAACTTTAAAGATAAGCTCACTGCAATATAAAGCAATGAGATTTCACAAAAAGTTTATGAAAAATAATCTTTTGTAGATTCAATATTGTAAAGCTGCTTTGTAAATAATCCCTATAAAAATTGTGAGGACATATTGAAACAGTGAAAAATATCTATGGCTAAGAATATGAAGGTCATCAGTATCCCCCAAAATATTAGCTTGTTGTAGTGCTGGGGACAAAAACCTGGTTGGGATGGATTTAAGACAGAGAAGAGAAACAGAGACAGTGTGTAGAGAATATATTTGAGGAGTTTAGCTATATAGAGAAATTGGGGGTAGTTTCAGGGAATAGATTAGTCTGCAGAAAGGTTTGTGGCTTTTGTTACTTTTCAATTTTTCTCTCTGGAAAGGAAAAAATAACAGCAAGGTTGTATGCTAAATGAAAGATCCAACAGATAGGAAACAATTTATGATGCATAAGGGAGGGGAGAAAGGCTGGAGGAATGTCCTTCCATAGATGAAAGTGGATGGGATCCAGGGCATCAATGGAGGAGTTGGCCTTGGGACCACAGAGAGTCATTCTGCAGGAACTTTCAGGAAGGCAGAGTGCACAGGAGATGCTGTGATGAGATCATGAGAAAGTTCTCCAATTGCTTCGATTTTCTTATAAAATAGGAAGCGTGATCATCAGTAAAGAAGGAAGTGGGCAGAAGTGCTGAAGTGTCTGGGAGAGAGGGAAAGTTGGTGGATTAAGCAAAAAAGTAGGATTCCTGGAGGGGCCCAAGGGCCTCACTTAAGATAAACATCATGAATTTATAGTGAGACACTCAGCTTATGGTTCTTTCTTTATCTAAACTGTTGGCTCTACAGATCTAATACACAATAAGAGGTAAAACCCATGTAGCGTTAAAGTTGGTTTCCTGATTCCAATTCCAGTATTGTTTCCACCAAACCATTCAATCTCCATACACGGATCAGGTCCTGGAAATGTTCTTGCCTAATGTAAACACATGCAGCAGTTCATGAGCTATAAAATGACCTTGGTGAGAATGAAACCCAAACTCAGTCCTCACTAAGACCCTAGTAATGAAGTGTTCCAAACACTGGGCCACCTGTAACAGTCAGGAACATGAGAAGATGACATGAGCACCATAGTGAACATGCTGCACCTAACCCCCACAAGAAAATACTCTCATTTTGAAAAGCCTCTGAGTCCATTTTCCTCCTCTCAGGCAAGAAGAGTCTACTTCTATTAAGAGATCAAATAGAAACATAAAAGGATCAAGTATTCATTACAAGATGATGTCATTAGTACCGTCCCCCTCCTTGGTCGTATCCTCACCCAGTTAAACAAACTCCTGCTACTAAACTGACAGAGCTTAAGAGAATGTATTGTGGTCAAAGGTTCTCAGAGTTGACTTGCCCAAAGCAATGTAGGGGCAAAAGCCATGAAAAGAAAAACTGAGGATAGACCAAGCAGACTCAAAAAGGGTCATTGAGGTATCTAAAACAGAAGAAAAACAAAGGAGATAAGGGAGGAGAGGCAGGGAACAAACAGAAGGAATCAAATGAGAAAAGACAGTACACAAAAATGGTTAAGAAAAATTCATGGGGGCGCCTGGGTGGCTCAGTTGGTTAGGCGACTGCCTTCGGCTCGGGTCATGATCCTGGAGTCCCGGGATCGAGTCCCGCATCAGGCTCCCTCCTCGGCAGGGAGTCTGCTTCTCCCTCTGACCCTCCCCACTCTCATGTGCTCT